TAGCAGATCAACACTTCCCCCCACCTTGGTGGGGAAGTCTTTAGTGTACCTTCAGAATAAAATGCTGCTGCCTTGTTCCTTATCTAAAATACTTATCTTTTAACCGTTTTGTAGTGTTTTTATTCCCATTCATGGATGGAGGCAAGTATTTTCAGTTAAAATAATTCTGAAATTAACATTTGGCAGTAGGGTTTATTTCAGAACTTAGTTTTTGGACAGAGACTTTTGAAGAAATCAGATGAGGGAGACTTTGAATATATTCTGCACTCTTCAATTTAGCACAGTCAGAGTATGGTATCTTATACTGCTGTAAATGTGGCTAGTTAAATTACAGTATAGACTTTGCCTTGTATGGTTTCAGTACTGTACCTACATTATAGATGTGGGTTTGCTCATGGCCGTGTGTCACTGACACTGGTGGCTGTCATTTAATTGTCCAGCAGCTGTTCCACTGCATTTCTCTTGCCCACTGTCACTTCTGTGGCTGTATCCAGCCCTGAAGCATTGTGGATCTGGGCCAGTAACTCATTTCTAGTCTGTGTTACTAATGTGCAAGAGTTTATAGTCATCTGTTAGCAATTGAGCTGTAGATGCAGAAGTCCATGCTGTTACTTCTTTGGTGATATACAATAGGGTTGTAGGTGATACCCTGTACCCTCCCTCCTGAACCTGTCTGTAGTAATCACTGCCTTCTGTTTTGTCTCAGGAGAATGGAAAGATTAATCTTAACCACCTTGCTACCTTGTTTTTAATGAAGGCCTCTCATAACTTACTGTAGGAGCATCCGCGCAGCGCTCCCTCTGTCCTATCCTCTCTTGAGAGGACTTGGTCATTGTCATCCCTTTTCAGTGCTGAGCTGTGGGGTGAGATTCTGAGGTTTGTTTTCAGCTTGTGCTGATCAGCAGGGTCCAGTCATGGACCTTGCACAGACTTGTGTTGTGATGTGGTGAGTCAGGTCATCTCATTGATCCAGCTGAAAATTAATTTTTAAAATTTGCTGACATGTCAGTTTATTATCAACTCTGAAAGGGCCTTACCACAGGTGCTGCTGTGGCATATCCTGTATCTCACCATCAAGGAGAAAAGCTTGGTCTTATGTTGTTCCTCACCATTGCTGCTGCTCTGAATACATGAGGTGGTGTTACAGTGAGAACATTTTGGATAGACATGAGAGCACGGATAAAGAGGAGCAGCTGTCAGGGCAGTGATGTGTGTTGCTTTACCCACAGTTCTGGTAAAAAGTGTAGCGAGCAGATCGAGTCAAAAAGCTGTGCTTGCTGCCGTTGTCTTCTCAGCCTCCAGACGTTTGATCCTGCCTTGGAAGTTGGTCTTGGGCCAGCTGGGAAAAGAGCCATCGCTGTTGTGACTCAGAGTCAGCTTTGCTGAAATCGTTGGTTAAGCCAAGCACATAACTGATGTGAAACCAGGAGCAAGATTTCTTGTTGATGTTTTTTCCCCTAACTAGGCTAATAGCATTTATCTTATGAACTTACTTACTTTGTAGTAAACAGAATTAAATTTGTGTACTGAACATCAGTTTCTCTACCTGGCTTTTCTAGGACGAATCCTGGACTTGAAGACCGGAACAGTAAAGAAGGAGGGTCAGCAGTCCTCGATGAGAATGTGCATGGGATCAAGGCGCTCTTTCATTTGTAGGATGAGGTACGCATTTACCTTGACTTCCTGTGATGGTTCCAGTCCTGTCTCAGCTTGGACTTAACCCCACTTACAAACCGAAACTGTAACGACACACTGCCGTTAAGCATTTCCAGAATGCTTTTTGCAACAGGAGTAAAACTGAAACCTGTCTTCCTTTATGATTAATGGTAAAACAGCACTGCATTTGTGTGTTGCAGTTATTTTTATCAGTGTGGGGTGTAGGATGCTTTCCCCAGCGAACTTCATGACAGTTTCGCCCCTGGAATGTAAGCCGTTGTCTCTTCTAGTCAAATTATCTGACTGAGTACTTTGGGAACAAAGCTTTTGCAAGTGTAATGGAAGTCCAACTCTGTGTATTTTTTCAGCAAACCAATAATATCAAAAGAATCTTGAAGACAAACAGGAATTCAGTTGCAAACTTGCCAGCTATGTAGGAATTAACCTAAGCCTGGTACGAATTAACCAAATGTCAGCTGGTTGATGCGAGATAAATGAGTAATTGTTAGAGGGGTTTTATTTTGCAATTTTCCAACTTCTCTTGCATTGCTTGGGCTTCTTTAAAGAAATCTGCCTGCCCAGTGCTTCTGACTGGGCTTGTGGGCACTTCAGTTGTTGTAGTGCTAACAGGATAAAATGCCTGTTGCTATTACAATAAATTTCATCCTGTGTGGTTAGGGGGGGAAAGTACATAATTGCAGCCTATATCCAATACATGTGCTGAAAACAGAGAATGCAAAATTTATCATGGAATGAAACATCCAAAGCAAAATAACCTACACATTGCAATAGTGTACTTCAGTTATGTGCTGGGTTTTCTTCCAGTCGTGTGAGGAAGCTGAATGCGTGGCTCTTGAGTGCCTTTGTAAGGGGTTTATGTACTTCATACCCACAGGATTAGACTTCAAAGCTATAGGTCCTTTTTTTCTCCTTAACTGAGGGTAGAGAAATACAACCGGCAGAGACACTTGAGACATCGCGTTCTCTTCCTCCAAGCTGCTCATAGTGGTCATATGAGGAGGACTTTTTTTTATGCAAAGAAAACCAGGCCTAATGTCCTGTTTACAGTTTTTCCTCAGCCTTTAAAACATTTCAGATTGCATTTATTTCCTAGCACCCTGATTCTGTAAACTTCAGTGCATGAGAGTAATTTTATACATGCCAGTAGCGACATTGTTTTTGTAATTCTAAATCTTATTTTAATTGTTCATTCCTTCTTCTTGGCAGTGATTGGTATTAAAAAAAAGTAAGAAAGAAGAATAATAACAAATGAAAAAAAAACCTTATGGGAAGAATGAGCCTCAAATAATGTGAACTTTCCTTGTGATTACTTTTTTCCTCGTTATTGTTCTTTTTTTCCATTGAAAATGAACTGGTTTTACCCTTCAGACTATTTACTTAGCTTCAGATGGATTGTTCAAATTATACAGTTAGGCATAGTTAGAAATACCACGAAATATACATGAACAAGTGTTAAACAAAGTTACTTGACAGTGTAGATAGTCTGTTCTTGCAGAAATTGGATGAACATCTGCTAATGTTTTAGCTGGTGTATGGCAGTTGAAATATTCTGTCCAGGGAAGCTACTGAGATTGTTTTGTGAGGATATTTGGGGGCCTGATTTACATTCTCCTATAGCATTTCATATAGTCTGTAGGTGTGGAGAGGCAGGAGGGAATCTTTTCGTAGTCTCTACTTTTTTTCTTTATAAAATAAAGGCAGTATTTGTAGCACACCCAAAAAACGCAGCCTGTGGAAGCAGCACGTTCTAAGAAAACATGAATCTGTGACTTTCTGCCACAAATAAACATCCATTATTGTCTACTTAGATATACTAATGAAGATCTTAAAATGCATTTTCATCTTGGGTATTTATTTTCATTTTTGAGCCCTTTTAAGTATTCATTTACTTTCAGGTGTGGAAACGCTCCTCTTGATCATTTACCTCTGAACAGAATAACCACGATGAGGAAAAGATACAGGTACGATTACTTGACTTACTACAACAGTTAGTTACCATAAGCACTCTCATTTTCCCCTGGCCTAATGCTCAATCAGGGATTACTACCTGGACAAACATCTGCATTAGCACACAGCATGAAATAGCACTTCCAAGAAGTATTATGGAAAACAACTAAGGCTTGGATAGCTTTGCAGTGGAACTGACGTTGTGCAGAACTCTAGCTTGGCAGTTGGTTGGTTGTAATTTACAAGTATCAGTAAATCATTAGTAGTAGTTTTAAAACATAAAGCTATTCTGCATGTCAGTCAAGGTGATATTTTTGTGTTTACTTCTTGTTTAGGAATGGCCTTGGCCCAGTAAAAGAAGGCGAAGCACAATACGCTGTTGTCCATTGCACTGGCTATATCAAGGCTTGGCCACCAGCAGGTGTGTATCTGTCTCTTGGACCTATCTGCAAGGCAGCTGAAAACCTGGCTTGGGATCTCTTTGCTGGTACAAAACCAGGCTGAGTTTCCATAGGGTGACCCATTCAGTCTCATCTTGAGAAGGTTTTGGTATCAAGAAATCAGCTGCTGTTACTCTGGGCCTCCTCATTTTTCTATGTGAAGCCCTTCTCAGTTTCATTGGCACAGAGAGCTGCAGAAGCTGTCAGTAATGTGGGACTGCAGCAGCTGGGGCCAAAAGTTTTCAATCTGATAAACTGGCATAAAAAATGGCCTGATTTTTAGGAAGATAAACACAAACCTTTTGTACCTCTAGAAAGCATCAACTAGTGCCTTTATATCTAAGTACTGCATTGCAAGCACCTATGTATGAAAATGTGTAATTTCAATTTAAACACATAGGTCTTCACAGTGGTGGTGTTAGCAAAAAATGTTAAATGTTTGTGGTAAGTACTGTTTTGAGGCTGCTTTTCTGGAAAACATGTCTTGGCATGCTGCTTTGAACTACAGAGAAAGACATTTACCTACTGTAACTCAGTATTACCTATGGGAATATTTACCTTTGAAAAAATTCAGAGAGGAGACAGTGGAGCTCATCCAGACATCATCATGAACTGGGTTAGTTGACCTTGGCGTTTGCAGCAGTTGGAGAGGCTGTTTGCAATATGACAGCGCCTGCTGGCATGAATCAAACCATGAGCTGTCCTGCCCTTCTGTGGTCATATACCACAAGCATAAATCACATTTGTCCAGGGATTGTGAATGCTAAGAGGTGGTTTGCACCAACTCTGTGCAGTGGTGTGCAGACACCAGCATGTGGATGTGAACTTCTTGTTGATTTCCTG